TGTGTATAGGTAGGTCCCTTGAAATGTGCGCATACTAGTTGCCTCCGAAAAACAACGAATTGTCCCCTTGCTTAACTTTTAGGTCTTAATTCATAAGCTACTAGTTGTTGCCTCCCGTGCCAGGTACTAATATTTTTTTATCCGACAAAACGAAATACATTGCATATTATTTCTTTAAAGCTATGCAGATTACACTTTCAAACCTTGCGTTTTTACACTATTTTTTATAATATCCTTCTTAAGTTCCAATTGTTATTGATATATACAGCAGTTTTTTTTTCAACATAATACTACCAATGCTTAGCTTTTTTATTTGTTTGTACTTGGCAGTTAGCTTCACAATAGTGAATCTAACCATCGGGGACGACCTTGGGTAGACTGGCGTTTGTCCGACGGTACATAACGTGTTTAAATGTCATACCCGGCATTAATTTTTGTGCAGTATAAATCAACCCGTATGGTTTTTTAAGTACGACACAAACTAATTTTCGCAAATTTCTTACCAAACTAACGCCAAATTAATATGTAAAATAGATCACTCCGGTGTATGTATTAGTGTTGTAATTTTGGATTCGAATCTTCGAAGGATTCGTATATTCGAATAGTCGGATTCGAATACCTAATTTTTAAAGATTCGAATAGTTGAAAAAAAAATATTTATAAATTAATTATTATTACTATTTGAATATTCGAAGGATTAGTTAGCTTAGCCGATGATAAAATAACTTTTCAGTTATTATTTAAGTATAATAATTTATTCAGTTTTTACATTATGTTAAGTATGTAAAATCGGTGTAAGTTTTAATTTATAAACCTTGAGCAGACAGGGGTTGGTGTGTGCTCTGGTGCTTGCTTTTTGGGATGCTCGAGGGTAAGGAATGAGAAAGGATTTGGCACGATACTGATTGACCGAAAATGTAGGATATTGCGTCATTTAACAGTATTTTCAAATAAAGTATTTAAAATTCATATTGTAAATGATAATCATGTGATTTTTAAATAATATTTCACCGAAAAAAAACGGAGATCAATCATTGTTGATTTTATTTTTGATATTAGCCATAAAATTTTCGAAAAATTTAGAGTTCCCACTCATGCCAATATACCGAGTTTTAATTACAGTCATTAAAATATACATAACATAGTTTTTATTTGTAGAATTTGATATTGGACTCCTGGCTTTTAAAATACTTAACAAATCTTTTTATAGCTCTATGTAGAACTAGCGTCGTTCTCAACTTGCTACGAAAATTCAAAAGATAGGTGTAAGTATTTTTTGTTTAAACTACTTCTGTTATACGTGTATGTGATAGATATTTGAATTTGTGCAATTATAGTATGCATATTTCAAAACTTACCTTCGTTGTATGCGTCTATGATTATTTTTAAAAACAATATTAATTGTGTACAGGTATTATTGCTGCGTCTTGTTGCATCAAGTGTGCAAGTTCGATAATGATAACCATACTAAGGGTTTGTTTTACAATCGCTATTTTTTAAACCGTCACATTTTATAGCTTCATCGTGGTCATTTAAGTTTAAAAATAATGTTACTTATGTGCTTGAGTTGTTTCTTCGACATACCTACATGCAGTTGACAAAATAATATATTTATTTTAGGTGTGTGCAATTGGTAAGAGTTTTTATCAACTGTTTCAACTCAACAACATACAACGAATCAAAAATAAATAATATATCATACTAAGAGTACTTTTTCTACACTAAATAATGAGAAAAAAATCAAGTTGATATATTATAATCAATTGTATTTATAGATATTTGTGCAAGAATCCGCCCAAAATATATATTGTTTTGTACTTTGTTTTATAACCTTGTAATTCATGCAAACAATTATTATTTTAATTTTTATGTTCCTTAGGGACTATAAAATAGTATGAGATCTATTTTGGATCTTAAATGGGCTCAAATAAGTAGTAATATTGAATTTTTTTAAACTGTCAGCACCCAATAAAATGATTTTAGCTGCCCCAGAAAAATACCTACTTAACACATTTTAAATCTCAACCAACATTTTTTTTGTTTAAATAACACAAAATGTATATGATGAAATATGATGTTAAAATACCCTTTATAAATAAAATTAGAAGACCAAATTGGTCGAGCATTTATGGTATAGGTTGCAAAGGTAATAAAGAAGTTCTAAAGCAAAATTACAGCGAAAAAAAACATAATTATATTTTATTAGAAATCATATAATTATAATCATAATATTGTAGAAATAATAATACATTTTATTTTGAATTTATATAAAATAAAATGTACTATTATTTCGACAATTATTATGATTACATTATGTTAGTTTTACTCATACTTTTTAGAATAAGTTTATCTTTTTATTTAAATCTTAGAATTATCAAGTTTGAATAATGGTAACAAAATAATATAACCACAACAATGTCGACATCTATAAATTGTTATAAGTTAATAATTACATCTTAGTAAGGTTAATAATTTGTAATTCAGGTACTGAAAAAGTAAAAAATTCGTCGTACTTAGGACTAGTTATTCCATTTTCTTTAAGCTTTTGGAGAATACTATTGTAGGCAGCTTTACTGAAACCATAAAGTAATTAAAAAAAAGTTATATATTTTATATTTTAAACATCCAATGCAACAGCATACTAGCTATTTCCTAAAAAATGCAAGTGGCCCTCAATTGTATTAAATTGTATTGAAATATGTGTAATATCATAAAAAAATTATCTGAGCTAGAGTAGAACAAAAAAGAACTCAATTTTCCTGTATGAGATAATTGGTTGATTAAAATTATTGGTGGTATGATGGGTTAACTGATTTTGAACTTGTAAAAAATAAAATTAATAAAGAACAAGTTAAACATATTTTTTCTACCGAAAGCGTTGATATGAATAGTAATACTCACTTTGGTTTTATAGTGAACAGCAAATCTATAAAGCAGAAAAGTTATTTTATTATACAGCATACATATTATGTGTTTTACCATTGAGTTGATATTACCATACAATATATACTCAATGGTTTTACTAGACAACAGGAAAATGTCTGTGTTTTAATATTTTATCATAGGTGTAGCAAAGGGTGAGCACCCGCCCCCCTCCATATATTGGTTTAAGGTTAAATTTCATTATACAGTATTAGACTTATTAACTGAACCGAAAAAAAAAATTACATTATTTTTTAATAAATTGTTTTTCAAAAAACTGCTCTACCTAGTGTTGATCTTATTGAATAATATTTTAACCTATATTAAAACATTTCATACATTACCTAAATTACCCTTACCCATCGGATTTACACCATCTGCAAAGAAAATATACCTAATTAAAATGTTATCTACCAACCTAGGTATATTATTTATACTTTTACCTTCTTTTACAAACATGATACCGCCCTTTTCTGGAATAAAAAAAAATAACTTTAATATTTTAATAACACTTTTGTGACTGTTTTAAATTGACATTAAATGTATTATTAAGGGAAACAGAAAGCGTTATTAATTAAAGGGCAAATGATAGCTATCCAATATTTTAATAACACTTTAACAGCATTATGCCGCATGTGCACAATTATTTTGTAAGAGGTAAAATAAAGACAATATATTTATTAACAGAAAGTTATAAAACGGACCTTAATTAATTTTAGGTTTTCGGATTAAAGAAACATAACGTCTTTTCATATGATTCTGCTTAAAAATAAATGTTTCTATTAGCTGAACCATTTTTTTTTTTTTACACGAGGTAGGTATTGACATTTTAAAATTATTAATCTATTAAAATGACAATAAAAAAAAAACTATTACATTGTAATACAATTTTATAGATAGCCTGATGTAAATTAGGGTCTATAAAACTGATAGAAATCGTAGCATAAGTATATATACTCTATATATTAAGTACACTATGTATATTTTGTATGTATTATGAAAAATTCCGATTTAAAAATTATTCAAAATTTAAACCGCGGAACGAAAAACGGGGTATTAGTATTGTTTTTCAGTGTCATTTAAATGGGTTATTACTCTAATGTTACCATAGAAATACTTAGGGATGGACATGGCAGGCGTTAGTTCCTCAATTTGGGCTCGGGTAATAAATTATTCTATCTATATTATACTAATATGACATTGACATAATATTATGAATATTATTAAGATAAACTTGATTATAATTACTGTATCCACGTTGATATACAATTATGTCATTTTTGTAGAATGAAGGCGTACCTAAAAAAAACAAAAAAATAAATAATTAATAAGTCATAGATTGAGTAAGTACACACACAATAGGTATATAATAATATATTTTAATCTATGGGTTCTGGTTAAACGATAAATACAAGATACATACCAGTTGCAAACGTACAGGCAACACAGACAGATACAACAATAATTAAGCTAAAACAGATATTTGCCATAACGATGCGAATAAAGTAGTAGGTATATTAGGTAGGTAGGTAGGTTGAATAGGTATCTATACTACTGCGGCGAAGGTTAAACGTCGAGAACAACTGGTAGGATTGTGATTGACTGTAACGAACGAAATTATCCAGTGAAATACCTGCGTCGGCCTTGTAAAAAAAAAAATTTTTAATTTCACCTGATTATACAGAAAAAAAAACAATAATGATTAAAAAATAATGGGTACGTTTTGAAAATATACCCACCAATACAAACGTAATATATTTGCAAACGATTTGCGTGGCCCTTGTACAACACAATTAATGGCTGTACGATAAATTAAATATTAATTGTTAAACGTACAACATTTAAAGCGAAAAAAAAGAAAAAAATTCATTTTTACGGTAACGCTTGGTAAATAAATCATAAAAGCCGCGTGAAGTTTGCATGCGTTGAAATTATTTACAACACAAAATTATTTTTGTAGTCGACCGCGTTTGATATTTTATACTTAATTAGTCGCCTAATCCTATTAAAACGGTTTTGAATAAAGTTGTGTGTTTTTGTACGAAGACTTGTATTGCTGAAATTGGTCGCATGGCACTTACTATTTGAAACCCTCTAGCGCGGCCATGAACAATTTTATTATACTTACGCTTTTATAAGTATAGTTTCTGGGCTTATGCTCCAAACCCACCGTACTGGTTTTTTTTTTTTTAATTCCTTTAAAACCTTTTTTGAAATATTTTATAGTTCTACCGTCGTTATTATTGTGTTCAGTAATTGTACATTTATTTCTAATCACGGAAACGTACTCAAAACATATTCTAAGTTGTGCCATTTATTTGTCTTGTGCTATTATCTATTTAAATAAGAAAAACAATTTACTTTGATATTGTGACGTTTAGTGTACTTGTTTAAACAGACACCTATTGTGTACACAATTTCATGTAAAAAAAATATGCATCAAAAAACAAAAACAACATCATTTAATTTGATTTTAAAACTTTATTAATTGCTTCCCACAAGCTATTCTTAATTAGTTTACATATTTTCATCACTAATGTTAACACCGAAGACTTCATTTAAATGCAATTTTAAATAAACATTAAATAAATAAATACATTAAAATAATTGTACGTTTTAAAAACATTTAATTAGGTTGAAAATTAACATTTGTCAATTTACCAAAGATTTAAATAATCATTTATTGTTCCATCGATTATTGCATTGTCTATAAAGCTTATGTAGCTTGTTACTGATGTCCCGAATTTATCGCAGATATCTTTCATTAATAATTTAAACTAGTTTTGATTTATCACATCCGAAACAAAAAAAACTTTCTTTAACTGAAAAACGAAAGATCAATTTATTTAAATTTTTATAATACAAACAGCAGTTAAACACCGCACAACTGACTAAAAAATTTTAAATGCGAGGAATTTTTCACAACAACAATACCATTTCTATTTTACGTTAACTCCATAGTATAAATAGTAGTGATGAGAATCCGAAAATCCGGATTTTTCAAAAAAACGCTTTTTAAGTCATTTGAATATCATATAATTGTTAAATACTATTACAATATAAAGATGTGTATCTAAGTAAAATTTGTTGATAAAATTTAAAAAAAAAACTCTTAACTTTGTCTATAAAATGCTTTAGGATTTCGGATTCCGGATTTTCGGATTTCAACAAATCCGAAATTCAAAAGCAGTTTATCTCTTTGGTGTTTTGTTTTATTTTCACATATTTATCAAAAAAATGTTACTTAGATATAAAGCTTTATATTGTAAAATTATTTAACACTTATATGATTTTTAAGTAGCTTAAATAGCGTTTTTTTGTGAAAATCCGGATTTTCCGATTCCCATCACTAATAAATAGTTTCTTAAAAATTATAATGTTTAATGATAAATGAAGTAAAATTAATGTTTACTTGAAAATGACACGTTGTCACCAAATTGTTTATGTACCACACTCAGCACTTCAGCTCTGCTATTTGTAATATTGCTCACATAATTCACAAACTGTGCCAAAGTAATGCCATTTCGTTGAACTACATTAGTTTGGCGTTTATTGATATCTTTCAAAATCCTTCCAAAAGTGCGATCTATGGCCTGAAATTTGATTACACATAATATCATTACACGTCGTTACACGTGAAAAACTGATAATACAATTTAAATTCGTTTAAACTAGAGATCAACATAAATCGAACAACCATAACGTGATACAAGCCAGAAAACTGAATAATTCCAATAAATGTATAGTTAAATAAATTCACGAAAAAAAGTTATTGACTGGTCCATAGTTAACCAATCGCCCGGTACATACTATTTTTTATTTTTTGACAAACTTTAAAAATAATTAGTTACTTTTAAGGTACAATTATATTTAACAGATTTAACAATAGTGGAATACCGTAGGTACACGTTAAACGTTTAGTTTACTGTACGCAATGTAATACAAATGATTTGCAAAGTATGTATAAGTAATAATTGTAGCTATAGCCCTCCCGGTCAAATAAGCCATACAAATATTATTACTATTAGTAATTGTTGGAAAAAAACTATATTTTCGTCATCTATGATATCGCTGTAAACCGATGGAGAATAAATTGTCAGACGTAATAAAATAAAATATTTCATATTCATCATTGTATTAATATCATTGTTTTCGCTTTGAATAAGGCTACCGACTTTATCTGAAATCTACTACACAATGATTCTTATGCTCAATAACAGGCAGTTGTATAGTAAAGAGTTTTGGATCAAACAATTTTTTTTTTTTATATTAATATACGTCAAAGAAATTCACACTACAGTTCACTGCACGAACGCAAACAATTCTACCAAAGAGTAGACCATTCGTTTAACATGACATGACTGTGTGGTTGATTCCATAGAAAACTTTTAGATCAACAATTTTTTTATCATGTCCCTTTTGCACGTAACACGCAAGTGTATTATGAATAAAAAGTATTTTTTACCCGTACAATGACTTGTTATTCTGGCTTTTTTCATCGGCGCAGAGTGAATGGCAATATTGTATTTTGTACCTATCAATCTAACGTAGGCCCTTGCCATTTGGTTTTGCGATGAGCTGTTTTTCTTTCGGATGTTTGCCACCGAGCCACCCAAAATCGTAACGACAGAAAATATTATATAGAAAATTGTTTTGAAAAATAAAACAGAAAATAACAATCGACATTATGACATGCATGCAAGTGTTTGTGTACCTGTACTAGTGTGCTCTGAAATCACACCTCAACTACAACATTTACAGCTTATAAAACATCAAATTTAACGGTCATATCAAACGGGGGGATTATTTAAAAACAAATTATCCAGCACAATTTTGAATAATTATTAAAAAAAAGATTAAGATAAAAATATTATTTTAACGAATCATTTTATTAATGGCTATTAAATTTAAGCCTTTAATTTAAGTCACCTTAAGTCTTTTAACTATGCCCAACAAGAGAAATTTAACAAAAAATACTACCTCTTCTGGATGGAACGGTTTATGATGTATCTTAGGTTTTACTGTACTTCAGTGGTACTTTATTTAAGGGTATTTTCTTTAAGTTCGAAGGCACAGGGGTAAAGATTTTAAACTTCTGTATCAATAAAGTACCTATTTTTTTTTCTAATCTATAGTTTCTTTTCCTGTACTTGTCTATTCCTAGTTCTTACATAGTTTCCACAGTGTCACGACCCATTCGAACGTCTGTTTGTTCATTAATTAGGTACCTTATAGTGTGGAGAATTTACTTTTTAATGCACACAGTTTCATAACTCCAATTTGAAAAATCTGGCTCAAATTTAAATTAAACGGTACACTCTCAATAGGAACATTACCCTCGTTGAACATTATATTTAAATAAATAAATACATTTAAATAACTGTATGTTTAAAACACATTTAATTTAGTTGAAAATAAACGTTTATAAATTTAACAAAAATTTTAATAAATTTCATTTCAATTTTTTTTTTAAACTATTGCTTGCTCTATAAGACATGTGTATGCTTGTACTGATGTTGGGAGTCTTCGGCAGATTTCTATTATAAGTTCATTAAAATCGTTTTGATTTATAATTGCTGAAACAAAAAAAATAAAACTTAATTAAGATCAATTTATATATAAACTGTTAGAATACAAACAGCAGTTATACACCGCACAATACTGACTAAAAAATGTTAAATGCGATCAATTTGTGCAACAACACTACCATTTCTGTTTTACGTTAACTCCATATAAAAGGTTTCTTGAAATTTATTATTAAATGATAAATTAAGTAAAATTAATGTTTACTTGAATATGGCACATTGACACCAAAACGTTGCTGTGCCACAAGCAGCGCAGTATCTCTGGTGTTTGTGAGATAACCCACATAATCTAAAAACTGGCTCAGTGTAATCAAATATTGAACTGCATTAGTATGCTGAGCATTGATGTGTTGTAAAATCCTTAGGTAAACGCGATCTAGCGTCTGAAATTTAATTACACTGTCATCTTACAAAACTGATAATGCAATTTAAATTCGTTTAAACTAGAGATCAACATAAACCGAACAATCATCAACGTGTGATACAAGCCAGAGATTTGCACGATTCCAATAAATGTGCATTTAAATCAAATTCATAAATAAAAATAAAGTTTTTTCATTATTCTTTGCATCAAGATTAACTTAACTTTTTACCCATAAACTTATTTCAATATTATCCACAATTAAATTAGTTATTTACTAAAAAAAAAAAAAATGTATACGGCCAAAACACATTCATGATTGAGGTTTACAAACAAGAGTCGGGTGAAATTCCGGACAAATAAAAAAAATATATATCTCCAAAATGAAACAAATTCATTTTACAGAATCCGACCAATTGATTTAAATGAAATACACACCCTTACAATAAAATGAAATGTTAAATTATAATTGTCAATGATAAAAATTAGGATTTAATGTTGAGTAGAGAAAATTACTTTAACAAAAAAAAAATGTTGACCAATGTAATAG